GCCTACCCCTAGTCATCCCTCCATTCCTTCTTCTCTCACAGTTTTGTTCACTGTTCCCTCTTGAACAGTGCCAAGAGAGGAGAAAGAGAGGGGGCCTCTACTTGTCCCATGTGCTCCCTTTGTGTATAGATTGTATTAAAAAGGAAAGCACAGGGGAATAGACAGTAATGAAAACAGTGGGGAAGGAAATGGGCTCACACAGAGAGGGGTCTCAGTGAGAAAATCGTGCCCAAGGTTGTCCAAAAGACTTGAGTAGACAGGAGGGTTTATAGCTCAGAGCTAGATCATTAGTAGGTTACAGATTCAATCCATAGCATACTAAGTGAGAACTTGGATCCCTCATCATCACCTGAAAACAGAGAGAGCTGCCAGAACAATGGTATAACTTGAGATGAATCAGTCTCCTTTGTTTAACAGTCTGAAGAAGGTAAAGATTTTATTCAACCAACTACCATTGTAGAGTTGGGGGGGGGGGGGAGGGGGAAGAAAAGAAAAAGTAAAAAACAAAAACAAAAAACTACCCTTAACAACCCTTCCCTCTCTGGGAAGAGACAGGAAGAGGATGCAGCCCAGTTCCTTCTGATATGCCACCAAGCAACAGACTTCAGCAAGCAATGTGTACACAGTAGCAAATTCTGAGACAAAACTGCTTTGTGCTTTGACCCAGGGAAATGTTAGTGGGAAATGCTGCCATCAGCAAATGTGTTTACTCACATGAATTTCCTTTTGTGGAGGTGAGGGGTGCCTCTGCAATTATCTTTATCCAAACTGTGAGCTTGTAGCCCCTAAAAAGCCACTCTGAGAAGGCAAGATCTTCTTACAGTGACAATGAGTATGTCATGGTCCACAGGGCCCATAGGACCAAATTAGAATTCAGACCCCCAACACCATTTTTGTTCAAAAATAAGACAAAGTTGTATTCCTCATATCTGTTGCTGTTGTTGTGTGCCTTCAAGTCATTTCCAACTTATGGAAATCCTAAGGTGACCTATCATGGCGGTTTCATGGCAAGTTTCTTCAGTGTGGGGTTACCATTGCTCTCCTCTGAGGCTGAAAGAGTATCACTTGCCCAGGGTTACCCAGTGGATTTCATGGCCGAGCGGAGATTTGAACCCTGTTCTCCACAGTCATGGTCCAACACTCAAACCATTATACCACACTGGCCCCTCATATTTACAGAAATATTATTCAGTGGTATGACTAAAACATTTCCAATGAAGTGTTTTTAATGCTCCCAGTGCTATCAAGTCTTTATCTAAAGTCTTTTGGGTTTATTTGTGTACTTGGGGTTTATTTGTATCCACTTGTTCTCCATGTGGATAAACAAGGTGCTGAATTATATCTATTTGACTGTATGCAATTCTTGGTTGGTAAATATTGCCGTTTCTATTTTCTTCTCTGTTTTAGATTATTTTTTTTAAAAGGCTTTGCAGTTGCAGGATAAATTTGATGGCAGCAGAATCTACACCACCACAGTGAAGGTGGCAAATGAAAACAAAACAAAACACACCAACAGTCATATTTTCCAGTGCACGGTTTCAAAATCACTTTCATGATTCTTGTGGATAATGGTTTCAGTTCAGCTCTGTGCTCAAGTAAAGTTGTCCTGCCAGTAGAGGAAGCAGGGGGCACAGCTTATCTCTGATTCCTCTTGCAGTGTCTTTTGCTACCTCCTATGCTATTCTGGAGGTCTGTGAACACTCTAAAACTGTATGAGAAGTGACACAACATATTATAGAAAATGTTGGAGGTAGCAAAATTAGCATATCTTGTGTTTTAACTTTTGCACTAAAAGTTTTTAGTTGCATTGTGTTTTTAAATAGTTGCATACTGCCTTAACCAAAAAATTGTCCCAAAATTAAATGTGATGTGACATGACATCTCTTCTGGTCCAGCAAAAACATGCTGATGCAGACTAGCAAGGGCAAGGAATAGTGAAATTTGCCCCCTTGGCACAGTTATCTTTTCCGCTGCACACAACCTCTGCTTTTATTGTACATCTTATGCATGTCTCTCTATATAACCATTTATGTATATTTTTCTACACAGTATTAGTTTTGTATTTTGGTTAGTATAGAGGCAGGAAACAGTGTCTCAATTTGAAAATTAACATACTGAACATTGAAGATGCTAATTCAGAATGAGACTCAATTTGCATCGTCTATGTGCCTTATAGCATTCTTTGGTACTTAATTATTTCCAGAGGACTCAATAATAACTCATAACTGAAACAAAAAATATACATCAGAAAACTTGTATATTGAAAAAGGGAAATCAGTTGTAGAAGAATAATACTAGTCTAAACTGTTAAAAGGAAAGAACAAGCATGCTCCAATTTATATAAACAAATTACCGATCAAGAACACCTTAAACCTTTCAGGAGTTTAGCTATGGCATTTAGCTAAACCAGGAAGGATTAGAAAAGTGAAGCAATATATATCCTAGTATGCTACGTAATGCCCTCTAGAATTTGTGCATGGTTTAAGAATGTTTGTCAGAAAGCTGAGCACTGCAGCCCTGCTTCAGCTCTCTTTTCTTATTGTCTGGGTCTGCAGAGGAAAGGTGACAGTGGATACAGTGGGACAATTAGTATTGTTAAATGTGGGTCTGTTTGGCTGCCAGAAGGCCATATCGAAAGGGTCTCTTCAGATGAAAACACCTACATAGGAGGGAAAAGACTCAAACAAAAGTAATGAGCCCTGGAGGATCAGGGAGAATAGATGCTGACAGTGTGTACATTTGTTCCTTGCTGTTTGCAGTCTTGCCGTTCGCCTCCCTTGCTCCTTCATGGATGGCAAGCCATGAGGGACAAAATTGAGTGCGCACCCATGGCACATGCACCATGCTGCACACAGGAGCGTATGCCATTGAAATCAATGGGGCTCCAATATTGGTTATTTTCCCCAATTCATGGGGTGGTGGTGGTCCAGAATGGATCTCCCGCGAATTGGAAGGGGCGACTGTATATCAACCACTCAGGTCCAAAACACACCGCAGAAATAATCCAGTTTGAGACTGTTTAACTGCCCTGGCTCAGTGCTAGGGAATGCTGGGAATTGTAATTTATTGTGGCACTAGAACTCTCTCACAGAGAAGGCTAAATGTCTCATAAAACTACAGTTCCTAGCATTCTCTAGCATTGAGCCAGGGCAGTTAACGCAGTCTCAAACTAATAATAATAATAATAAAATTTATTTATATACCACCCAATGGTTGCCCAATCTGGGCGGTTTACAACATAAAACACAATTACAATAAATAACATCCCCCCCCCCCGAAACTGGATTATTTCTGCAGTGTACTTTTTACCCTCAGTTTCCTCTGGATCTTTTCTGGGTTATCATTTTCCTCTGGAATCTGTACATATAGCTCCTTTGGCTAGTATTCCTTGTTCTAACACATCTCCTCCTAAAACTAGACAGTTGTGAGAAATAAGCATATTGATATTCAAGTCCAATACTCTGTTTGACTCTTCCTAGCAATGTCATATAAATGTTGAAGTAGACTGGGATAAAACCCTGCAGCACTTCACATGACAAGGGTAGGACAGAAATTGCCTTCTGAAGCCATATAAAAATGACTGGCATCATTGTAGTACTGAGCCACCTAAGCTCAGGTCAGATAGCTGAGAGAAAAGGATACCATGTCTATTATATCAGAGCTTGGAAAAGTATGTTTTTTTTTAATGGGGGATGTAATGTAAAAAAGGAACTGTTCCAAGTTCTGGGAGTCACAAAGAAATTAATTATCCCATTAATTCCACTCTCATCATCCAGTCTTTGGTAGTAATTCATCCAGCACGACAACTAAAGTTGTTTCCATTCCAAATGCAGGGGAGAACCAGGACTGGAAGAGGTGTAGACATTTAATTTCCCCACAAATCAAATTGAATTGATAGACCACCACCTTCTCCAATAGTGTATGCAGAAGAGGCAGATTAAAAACTAGACAGCTGTTTCCCAAGGTATGAAGGACTAATATTGGTTTCTTTAGTACTGCTTCTTTATAGTGAGTCGGACCAAATCCTCTCTCAAGACTTACTAACTCAGAGAACCCGGCCTTCAAACGTACTCTGGAAGCTTCCCAAATCAGGTTTGTTCATTTCACAGGACTTATGGAATTCTCTCTCAAACCTGTTTCCCTTTGTTATTCTTTAAGAACTAGAAAAATCTCATCCTGTTTTTGCTTTTTGTAACTTCAAGTGGTATATATGGTATTCTAACACCTTTTAATCTGAAATTATTATTTTTATATTAGCTTTATTTATTATTATTAGCTTTATTTATTAAGCGCTGTAGATGTACACGG